TGAAGATTCCATAATAGGGTTGCATATTCAAGCTTTAGCATCACATAGGTTACATCATATTTTTGAACATTTTCTTTTCCATGCATCCGAAGGTTACTCTTACATTTGCTAAGAAATCATATGCTGCCCTTACTATGCCATTGATATATATTTCCAGAGAGAAATCTTCCTGTATGTTTACTCCTAGATCTCTCTCATTCTCCATCTCTTGAAAATATGCTTCTACTATTTGGTATCCAAGCATGGGCCTTCTTGCACTTGTGCCCATTCTCATTACCTTACATTTTAAAGTACTGAATTTCATTAACCAATCTTCTGACCACTCATGCAGACTATTTAGGTCTCCCTGATAGTTCTCTACCTTTATTTTTGTCTCTTATTTTCTTCACAATCTCTGCATCATCTGCAAGCATATTCAAAGATGAATTTAAAGACTCTGATAGGCCATTGATGTATACAAGGAAAAAAATGGCACTAAAGCTGAAAGCTGTGGAACTCACTATTAACCCATCTCCTTTCAGACACTGAGTGTCTTTCTGTAACCTTTTATTGTCTTCCTTCTGAGAAAGTTTTTATCCATTCCAAGACATTTCCACCTATACTTACCATTTCTTGCAGCTTCTTAATAAGTCTCCTGTGTGGGGCCATGTCATATGCCATCTGTAATTCTAAGAGTATGCAATCTGCCCAGCCCTGTCCTTCCTGTAAGATCCGGCTTACCTGATCATAAAACTCTAATAAGTTTGTTACTGCTGATCTTACTTCTCTGAAGCCATGTTATTTTACTGACAAAAAGTTGAAGGATTGCTAGTGAAGAGAGATGTGTTTTCTTAATCGTTTCTCGATAACTTTGCAAACTATGGTTGTCAAGGAAAAAGGTCTATTGTTTAGAGCTGGAACCCTTCATCCCTTTTTGAAGATAGAAACCATGCTCACTTGTTTCCAGCATCTTGAAATCTTCCCTGATTGTAGTGAATTTTCAGATATGATGCATAGTGCCACCGAAATTAGTTTAGCGTATTTCTTAAGAATATGAGTGGATATATCACCAGAATCCGTAGCTGTATTTGCATCTAACTCCATCAGCTCTTTGCATGCCTCTGTGGCTGAAAAGATGATGTTCTCTAATACCGGCTCATGAACTACTATCTCTGCAGTCATAGGGGGTGGAGTATTTTCTGTTGTAAATACTGACTTACACTCCGTGTTTAGTTCTTCGCAGATCTCTTCATCCGTGTCAGTGATGCTTCCATCTGCTCTTTTTAACTTTAAAGCATTTTCTTTGACATTCAGTTTTCCTCTGATAAAGTTGTATAAAAGATTGGGATTTTCTTTAGCCTTCCTGGTCATATCCTTTTCATAATCTCTCTCTGAGTCTCTTCTCTTACTTAGGTAATTATTTATTGATATTATAGAAGCATGCCAGTCATATATGTTTTCTTCAGCTATGCCTTTTCCAAGATTTGTGTCTATGTGTGCATGTCCATGTAAAAGCTATGGCAATATATATATATATATATATATATATATATATATATATATATATATATATATATATATATATATATATATATGAGCTACTTTGACTCTTTGGGAAGAGAATATACAGAGAAGAGGATTCCTAGTCCCCTCGCTAAACCCTATTCAATCACCTCTTGCGACACGCAAGGGAACACGAAAAAAGTATTCTATCCCACTCCCTCAGAGGGAATATATATATATATATATATATATATATATATATATATATATATATATATATATATATATATATATATATATATAGCTTACACACACACACACGCAAGCACACTTTCAGTGTAAGAGTAGTTGATAACTGGAAATGGCTAAGCGAGGAGGTAGTTAATGCTATCTCAATCCATAATTTTAAGGACAGGTATGATAAGTATCACTAAGTATAAAATGGAACCGATCAGGAGACGGGAAGATACGAGCTTTGGGCTCTTTCCCGTAAACAAAATTAGGTAATCACAATTAGGTAATCACACACACACACAGAAATATCAGAAATATTTATGTAACCTATGTGAGGCCAAAACTTGATTATGCAGCCCCCTTTTGGAATCCGCACTTGAAAAAGCACATCGCTAAGCTTGAAAAAGTTCAAAGACATGCCACGAAACTGGTGCCAGAAATACGTAATCTCAGTTATGATGAGAGGCTGAGGGAATTAGACTTACCATCACTCGAAGCTAGCAGATTGAGGGGGATATGGTGACAGTCTTTAAATTCTTTCATGGCTATGATAGAGTGGATAGGGATCGATATTTTAATATGGCTGGCTCTAGAACTAGAGGTCATAGTTTGAAGCTTCGTAAGAAAACTTCTTTGCAGGATGTAAGGAAATACTTTTTCAGTGTAAGTATAGTTGATAATTGGAATTGGCTAAGCGACGAGGTAGTTAATGCTATCTCAATCCATAGTTTTAAGGACATGTATGATAAGTATCACTAAGTAGAAAAATGAACCAATGAGGAGACGGGAAGATACGAGCTTTGGGCTCTTTCCCGTTAACAATATGTAGTAATCACAATCAGGTAATCACACACACACACACACACACTTACCATCACTCGAAGCTAGAAGAGTAAGGGGGGATATGGTGACAGTCTTTAAATTCCTTCATGGTTATGATAGAGTGGATAGGGATCGATATTTTGATATGGCTGGCTCTAGAACTAGAGGTGATAGTTTGAAGCTTCGTAAGAAAACTTCTTTGCAGGATGTAAGGAAATACTTTTTCAGTGTAAGAGTAGTTGATAATTGGAATTGGCTAAGCGAGGAGGTAGTTAATGCTATCTCAATCCATAGTTTTAAGGACAGGTATGATAAGTATCACTAAGTCTAAAAATGGAACAGAACAGGAGACGGGAAGATACGAGCTTTGGGCTCTTTCCCGTAAACACAATTAGGTAATCACAATTAGGTAATCACACACACACACACACACACACACACACACACACACACACACAGAGGTATGCAAAGCGCTGATGGATTTAGATGTTCATAAAGCTACAGGTCCCGATGACATATCCCCTCATGTGCTTAAAAAATGCGCAAACACAATATCAGTGGCACTAAGTATCATATTTAAGGAGTCACTGGAGTCGGGTGAGATTCCAAGATGCTGGAAACAAGCAAATGTGATACCTATCTTCAAAAAGGGAAGGAGGGATACGGCTCTGAACTATAGACCAGTTTCCTTGACCAGCATAGTTTGCAAAGTTATGGAGAAACTACTAAGGAAACATATCTCTCTTCACTTGGAATCCTTCAACTTTTTGTCAGTGAGGCAACATGGCTTCAGAGAAGGTAGATCAACAGTAACAGACTTATTAGAATTTTATGATGAGGTAAGCCAAATTTTACAGGAAAGAGAGGGCTGGGCAGATTGCATATTCCTAGACTTCCAGAAAGCATTTGACACTGTTCCACATGGGAGATTTATTAGGAAGCTGCAATCAATGGCTAGAATAGGTGGAAATGTTTTTGAATGGATAAAAACTTACTTAGAAGGAAGGGAACAGAGGGTTAGAGTAAGACACTCAGTGTCTGAATGGAGAAGAGTTAGTAGTGGAGTTCCACAGGGTTCAGTTTTAGGGCCACTTTTGTTCCTTGTATATGTAAATGACCTACCAGAGTGTGTAAATTCATTCATGAATATGTTTGCAGATGATGCAAAGATTGTGAAGAAAGTAAAAAACGAGAACAATGGTAGAGAACTTCAGGAGGATCTAAATAATCTGCATGAGTGGTCAGAAAAGTGGCTAATGAAATTCAATACTTCAAAATGTAAGGTAATGAGAATGGGTACAAGTGCAAGAAGGCCCAAGCTTGACTACTCGGTGGCTGGAGTACAACTTCAAGAGACAGAAAATGAGAGAGATCTAGGAGTAAACATACTGGCAGATTTGTCTCCAGAAATACATATAAATGGCATAGTAAGGGCAGCATATGCATTCTTATCAAATGTAAGGGTAGCCTTCAGGCACATGGACAAGGAAATGTTCAGAAATATTTATGTAACCTATGTGAGGCCAAAACTCGAATATGCAGCCCCCTTTTGGAATCCGCACTTGAAAAAGCACGTAGCTAAGCTTGAAAAAGTTCAAAGACATGCCACGAAACTGGTGCCAGAAATACGCAATCTCAGTTATGATGAGAGGCTGAGGGAATTAGACTTACCATCACTCGAAGCTAGAAGAGTGAGGGGGGATATGGTGACAGTCCTTAAATTCCTTCATGGTTATGATAGAGTGGATAGGGATCGATATTTTGATATGGCTGGCTCTAGAACTAGAGGTGATAGTTTGAAGCTTCGTAAGAAAACTTCTTCGCAGGATGTAAGGAAATACTATTTCAGTGTAAGAGTAGTTGATAATTGGAATTGGCTAAGCGAGGAGGTAGTTAATGCTATCTCAATCCATAGTTTTAAGGACAGGTATGATAAGTATCACTAAGTCTAAAAGGGAACCGATCAGGAGACTGGAAGATACGAGCTTTGGGCTCTTTCCCGTAAACACAATTAGGTAATCATTCCTTCATGGTTATGATAGAGTGGATAGGGATCGATATTTCGATATGGCTGGCTCTAGAACTAGAGGTCATAGTTTGAAGCTTCGGAAGAAAACTTGTTTGCAGGATGTAAGGAAATACTTTTTCAGTGTAAGAGTAGTTGATAATTGGAATTCGCTAAGCGAGGAGGTAGTTAATGCTACCTCAATCCATAGTTTTAAGGACAGGTATGATAAGTATCACTAAGTCTAAAAATGGAACCGATCAGGAGACGGGAAGATACGAGCTTTGGGCTCTTTCCGTAAACACAATTAGGTAATCACAATTAGGTAATCACACACACACACATATATATATATATATATATATATATATATATATATATATATATATATATATATATATATATATATATAAAACCAAATAAGCACATTTCCATATGTGAAATCATGAATAATTTTTACCCCACCCGGGACTTGAACCTGGGAGTTATAATTACTAAGCCAATGTCCTACCAACTAAACCACAGAGGTTAAAGGGACACAAACCTTACAGCTTATATCTTCTATACTAGGATTGAACGCATTCTATCTGAATGCCACTCACTTTGTTCATATTACAGTTTCCCCAACCTCACTCGTGGTTTAATTTTCACATTTAATTCAACTCCCAATCTCATTCGGGATCAACAAAAACCAAATAGGCACATTACCTTATGTGGAAACATGAATCATTTTTATTCAGACCGGGACTTGAACCTGGGACTTATTATTACTAAGCCAAGGTGCTGAAAGGTTTGTTTCCATTTAACTTTCTGTGGAGTAGTTGGTAGCAATTTGGCTTTGTAATTATAAGTCCAAGGTCCAAGTCCCGGTTGGAGGTAAAAATGACTCATGTTTTCACAAGTGGAAATATGCTTCTTTGGTTATTGTTGCTCCTGAATGAGATTGGGTGTTGACTTAAATGCGAAAACAAAACCACGAGTGAGGTTGGGGAAACTGTAATATGAACAAAGTGGCATTCAGACAGAATGCGTTCATTCCTAGTATAGCAGATAATAGCTGCAAGGTTTGTTTCCCTTTAACCTTCTGTGGTGTAGTTGGTAGCGCCTTGGCTTAATAATTATAAGTTCCAGGTTCAGGTCCCAGTTGGAGTAAAAATATATATATATATATATATATATATATATATATATATATATATATATATATATATATATATATATATATATATATATATATATATATATATATATATATATATCGAATTACCTAAATGTTCTTACGAAAAAAGAACCCAAAGATCGTAACTTTCCGTCTCCTGGTCAGTTCCATTTTGTAATTAGTGATACTTATCATACTTGATCTTAAGACTATGGATTGAGTTAGCATTAACTACCTCCTCGCTGATATATATATATATATATATATATATATATAATATATATATATATATATATATATATATATATATATATATATATATATATATATATATATATATATATATATATGGAATTACCTAAATGTTCTTACGAAAAAAGAACCCAAAGATCGTAACTTTCCGTCTCCTGGTCGGTTCCATTTTGTAATTAGTGATACTTATCATACTTGATCTTAAGACTGTTGATTGAGTTAGCATTAACTACCTCCTCGCTGAGCGAATTCCAGTTATCAACTACTCTTACACTAAAAAAATTACTTCCTTACATCCTGCAAAGAAGTTTTCTTACGAAGCTTCAAACTTTGATCTCTAGTTCTAATGTCAGCCATATCAAAATATCGATCCCTATCCACTCTGTTATAACCGTGAAGGAATTTGAAAATCGTCACCATATCCCCCTTCAATCTTCTAGCTTCGAGTGATGGTAAGTCTAATTCCCTCAGCTTCTCCTCATAACTGAGATTGCGTATTTCTGGTACCAGTTTCGTGGCATGTTTTTGAACTTCTTCCAGTTTATTTATGTTCTTTTTTTAAGTGCTGATTCCAAAGGGGCCTGCATATTCAAGCTTTAGTCTCACATAAGTTACATAAATATTTCTTAACATTTCCTTGGCCATGTGCCTGAAGGCTACCCTTACATTTGCTAAGAAAACATATGCTGCCATTACTGTGCCATTTATTTGCATTTCTAAAGACAAATCGGTCAGTATGTTTACTCCTAGATCTCTCTCATTCTCTGTCTCTTGAAATTGTACTCCTGCCACCGAGTAGTCAAGCTTGGCCCTTCTTGCACTTGTACCCATTCTCATTACCTTGCATTTTGAAGCCAGTTTTCTTACCACTCATGCAGTCTGTGTAGATCTTCTAGAAGTTCTCTACCATTGTTTTTGTTTTTTGCTTTTTTTCACAATCTTTGCATCATCTGCAAATTTATTCATGAATGAATTTACAGACTCTGGTAAGTCATTTACATATACCAGGAAAAAATCTTGGCCCTAAAACTGAACCATGTGGAACTTCACTACTTCTTATCCATTCGGACACTGAGCGTCTTACTCTAACTCTCTGTTCCATGTCTTCTGAGAATGTTTTTATCCATTCCAAGACATTTACATCTATTCGAGCCATTGCTTGCAACTTCTTAATAAGTCTCCCATGTGAGACCGTGTCAAATGCTTTCTGTAAATCTATAAATATGCAATCTGCCTAGCCCTCACTTTCCTGTAAGATTCGGCTTACCTTTTCATAAGATTCTAATAAGTTTGTTACAGTTGATCTACCTTCTCTGTCGCCATGTTGTCTCACTGACAAAAAGTTGATGGATTCCAAGTGAAGGGAGATGTTTCTTTAGTAGTTTCTCCATAACTTTGCAAACCATGCTGCTCAAGGAAATAGGTCTATAGTTTATAACCGTATCCCTCCTTCCCTTTTCGATGATAGGTATCATGTTCGCTTGTTTCCAGCGTCTTGGGATCTTCCCTGACTCCCGCAACCTTTTAAATATGATACTTAGTGCCGCTGATATTGAATCAGTGCATTTTTTATGTACATAATGGGATATATATTCAGGACCTGTTGCTTTATAGACATCTAACTCCATCAGGCGTATGTATATTTTTGTGTCTGAGAGAATGATGTTCTCTAATACTGGCCCATGAGCCTCTGTCTCTGCAATCTGAGGGAGCGGGGTATTTTCTACTGTAAATACTGACTGAAACTCCTTGCCAAATTCTTCTCAGATCTCTTCATCCATCTCAGTGATGCTTCCAGCCGCTCTTTTAAAGGTTTTAAATCTGTTCTTTGACCTTCAGTTTTCCTCTGACAAAGCTGTGGAAAAGACTAGAATTTTCTTTAGCCTTGCAGTTGATATTCCTTTCATAGTCTCTCTCTGCCTCTATTTTTTTACTTAGGCAATCATTTCTTGCTCATTTATAGGACTGCCAGTATTTATGTTTTTTCTCCTCCTATACCTTTTCTAGCATTTGTATCTCCACTCCTTAGCTCTCCTACAGTCATTACTGAATCATTTATCTCTGGCATGAATTGGTCCTATTTTGGTGATAGGTATCCAGCAATTTACTATCTTCCCATATTTCTCACTAAAGATGTCGTTCATTTGTTGTTAAAAAAGGTCCTCCAGTGAATGACTGCAAAAAGCTATTTGGTTTTTATGTAATCTCCTTTTGAATAATTCCTCCTCATGTCCTCAGTGCCTCTACTCTCAGGCAGAACATCTTCAATGATATACTTCATTAGCAATACACAGTGGTTACCCTTTCGTTCATACTAATTTTTTTTCAATATCAAACACGTTATCTGTGAATACTAGATCAAGTAGTGATGGCTCATCCCCACCCCTGGCCCTCGTTGGTTCCAGCCCATGTTGGTGTAGGAAATTCCCTTGTATGCAATCTAGGAATCTTGACCCGAATGGGTCCTCGCCACTGTGTGGGTCAAAATTTATCCAATCTATCTATCTACGATTAAAACCTCCCATAAAAAATCCTAAATTTTTTCTCCCTTGCAATGTTAACAACTGAGTTTATGACTTAAATAGTACTTATAGGGCTTTCCTCATAAATATATAGCCAATGTTGGTCCTTTGAAGGGTTATATACAACAGTTATTATAATGCTATCTGACACAGTATTTATGCGAACAACAAGAATTCCTTGAACTTACTTTCTATAACAAAGTTTATTTCTTTAACCTGAAGCCTTTCACTTATGAGTAGTGCTACCCCTCCACCAGTCCTCTTAGATCTTTCAACCCTTAATATTCTGAAGCCCTTAGGAAAAACTGTGACACTGTTTATGTCCTCACTCAACTTAGTCTCTGTAACTGCTACTATATCTGCCTTACTGTTGTGAATCCTATCTTTTAATTCTACTACCTTACCAGCTAATCCATCAGCATTTGTGTATTACAATCTAAATGAGGCCCCATCCCCTGATCTTCTATCATCTTCTTCACCTCAATTTGTCTGGAAGAACTCTGAAATGAAAATTTTTCTTCTCTAATTTTATTCCTCATTTAATCTTCTAGCCTCTTGCAACAAGTTTTTAATCCTTTCCATCTCTTCCTGTGCTCTGTATTGTCTAATGAACACTGTTTTGAATTCTTTAAATTATTTTAGGATTTTTTTCCTTATCAACATTTCTCTACATGTGTCCCCTCTCTCAAAGGTTACTTTTGTTGGTCTCTGCTTTCCCTCCCTAGAATATTTACCTAGTTAGTGAATGTTTACAATATCCGCAGGACCACATACTACTCCAAGCTCCCTTATGAGGTTTAAAATACTAGCTTATTTTCTTCTAGTCTCCCCTGTCATGTTGGCTCCTGGGATTCTCTTATACCTGAGATTACTACTGTCTTCTCATTATCAACTTCCTGTTTAATCAGCGGATTAGCTTTATCCATCACAACGTCTTTTATTTTTTCTATTACTGTTTATTTATTGTCAACTATTTATATGTTTTCCAATGCCACCACCTTCACAGCCTTTTTTACTGCCACATTCCCCTTTAATGCATCAGCAAAGGAAGTTTTCACGGCATCCTTGTTCAGTATTCAGCTCCTGAAACTCTTTTCTAAACTGTTAGATGTTTTCCTTTTTCTGGACATTCTAAGTTTTAAATCTCGTCTCTCACAGAAGAGAGCAGTAAACTAACATTTAATTCATTCAGATTGTCATTCAGCTATTTGTTATTATCTTCTTGATTAGAAAATTTGGTTTCTATTTTGCTATTTTCCCAGTTCTTATCTCTCTTCCCCTTGTGCTTTATTTGCTTCCTCCAAAAATTTTATTTCTTCTCTGAGTATTTCATTCTCTTTCATTTCTCAGTTTTATTATCAAGGTTTGTTACCAATGTCTCAAATTCCTTGACTTTTTGCCTCAATCTTCTTAATGCCACTTCTCTTCCTCCTACATCCTCTGGAGATCCTCTAGCACCCATCCCCTGACCATTTTCTATATATATATATATATATATATATATATATATATATATATATATATATATATATATATATATATATATATATATATATATATATATATATATATATATATATATATATATATATGTGT